CTTATGATATGAAGATATTTTATAATGAATCAAGTTGTATGTACTACAGTAAAGCTTCAGGTAAATGGAGGACAGTATAGGTAGGAAGGGAAATAAATGTCATAACTGCCTAGGGCACCTACATTTTGAAGTCTGGCTTTGGTCGTAGGACTTGTTTTTATGATCTAATTGAAAACAAACAAACAAACAAAAAAAAAAAACAACAAACCGGAAACAAATCAGAAATGAGAGTGACTTCACATGTAGTGTGGAGGCAGGCAATCCAAGGAATTACCAACAATGTGTTACTCATTTACAAGGAAGGAAGATACTGTGTCATCACATTCCACAAAACTCTTAGGCTACTGTTGTTCAAGTGAGCCTGTCACTAGAGGGTAAAATGACACTGTAAAATTTTCCATTTTAATACCTCGTTGTCAGTGTATGTTAAGGCTGTGGGTGAAGCACTTTCTAAATTGAAGTACGAGACATTAATCTTACTTGGTTTTCAGACACAGTGCTCCATCTATGGGTGGGACGATGTTCCACTTAGTAATTCTCTCCCCACCCCACCCCCCAACTGTTCGATTTTAAAAAAGGTTTTACATACTAACACGATTCTACTTGAATAGGAGCCTACATAAAGTTGTTTCTCTTTATTAGCGGCCTTTTTTATTAGTATTATTTGGAACACCAGCTGAGATAATTTAATCCTTACGGTGGTAGTGAGGTGGGTTTTTTCCCCAGGTATAATTGTCTAGCTCTATACTTAAGAACCAAAATGTCTTTCAAAATATGTTGCTTAGGAGTACAGGCATTTTTTTAAAAAAATTCATACTTTTGAAAATTTAACATGCAATAGAATTAATTATAAATGTTTCCCAATGCCCAAATTAAGAGATACTATAAATTATCTGTGGCTCTAATGCTATAGATTCTTAACATTGCTTCTTTTCTGTATTTCTCTTTGAGGTACATAACTAATGTACTATTCCTGACAATAGTAGGTATATAAAGCTGTCAATAAATTTTACGTTTATGAAGAGATACAAATATATTCATATGCAAATAATATCATAGATATAAGTAATGTCACAGAACACAGCAATCATTCCAATTTTCATCCAAATGTTTGAAGAGAAATTTGTGCTGTTAACATGAAATTACTTCATACTTCCCTAAATATCTTTCAAGACTCTATTCAGATATCCATTTTGTGAAACCTTCTATAGCTATTCCAGGCCACAAAGTTGCCTTCCTTTTCTGAGTTTCTGTAGGACTTATTGTATGTTGGTATTCACTTATGTTGGCATCACTATAAAGTTGGCCACCAGGTTGTCAAGCTTATGGCCACAGCGGTTCGTGGAGCCATCTATTAAGGCATTTATGTCTAGAAGAGTTGTTGTGTGAGGGGCGATGGGCCATCTCCAGTTGTCCTGATCTATATCTGGCCACTGGACCCAGGTAGCTCCAGAGGAGAAAGTGAGGCTGGTGACCATGCACAGCACTGCCTCACAAATCCAATTCACTTACAAGTCATGGCATCATCTTTCTGATGTCATGGTCCTCTTCGAGAATGAAGGACAAACCACACAACCTGAGGGCCAAGGAGTGTTCTTAGAGATGAAATCAAAGATCTTTGGAAGTATTGAAATTATTTGACAGTTCTATCGTTAATGTATCCTTGTTTCAAATGGATTGCAGTTCCTTGAGAGTCAAGAATGCATCATATGCTGCCCTGAAGTAATAAGTTCAATCTAAAGGAGCTATAGTAGAGCTATATCCAACAGAAATTCTTAGGAATCAACTATTTGCACTGCACTGTTTTGAATGATTGAGTGAGGATAAGCAGGTATAACTCTAGATTTGGTAGGAACCTCAGAGGCCATCTTGCTGGAACCTGTAGTCTGTGATTAAAAAAAAATATTTTGATAACTGTATTTCATTACAATTGGTTTTCATTGTAATCCTGTATGTTTTATTGTACAGTGCATGGAACCCTAAATCTGAAGTTAGGACAGCATGCATTCACATATGACTTCAGACACAGACTAACTATATTATCCTAGGCAAGGCACTTAACCATTTTCTGCCTCAGTTTCCTCAAGGGTAAAATGGGGATAACAATAGCACCTACTTTACAAGGTTGTTATGAGGATAAAATGAAATAATATTTATAAAGTACTTTGCAAACGTTAAAGTGCTATATAAATACTATTATTATAAAAAACATTATTCTGAGAAGTAGGGTCCATAGGCTTCACTAAACTGTCCAAAGTGATCCATGATACAAAAAATGGATAAGAGCACCTTATCTAGTTTAATCCTTTTATTTTACAAATGAAGAAACTGAGGGTCAGGGAAGTTAAGTGATTTACTTAAGGTACCACAGCTATTAGGCACCAGAGTAGCATTTGAACTTAGGTTTTCTGACTCCAAAGCCCTTGCTTTTTCAATTGTGCCGCTTTGAGGATTTAAAAATAGTGTAGAATTGGGTGACAGGACATTAGAATCTGGTAAGTGCAAAGGAACAATGTGATGTTGAGAAGTCATTTCCAGCTGAGACGGGTCACAGGTTTCATGAGAAAGTGGTAATTGAAGAATGGAGAGGATATTAAGAAGTAGAGATGACAAAAAGCATATTCTGTATCCCCTATAGGGACTAATATGGGCAAAAATGGGAAAAATGCAGGAAAACTTGGGAGGGGTTTTAGGAGTTAATGAATAATATAATTGGACGAGGTAGAATATGTAAGAAAAGACTGGAAAGGTCAATTGGAACCATTTGGTAGAGAGCTGTAAATAGTTAAAAATCTTTGGGCTTTATTGAGTAGTTAGTGTAGAGGCAATGTCACTTTCTGATAAATGGAGTGATATCATCAAACAGATTTGTGAATTAGGAAGATTATATTGGCAGCAATGTGTGAAGGTAGGATGGATTGAAAGGTGAAGATAGTGAAGGTGTAGACCTGGTAGGTGTGGATTTCAGTGGTCCAGAGAAAAATAAAGAGGATCTGAAGAGTAAGAATGTTGACAATAAGAAAGGGGGGGCGGAGGGGAGAGGAGGGGTAGAAGGGATGAGACACATTTTTGAACACAGAACTTGGTTTTGGATTGGATATGTGGGACAAGTGAGACTGTAACCTGCTGTGGGATTAAGTGTAAATGCTTTCTGTCATTTGTTTTGAGATACTGTCCATTTTCATGAGCTCATAGATTCTTAAGAAATATGCATTTCTTCTGCTTAAGTATATGTGTTAAATATTATTCATAGATTTCCTTTGGTTATATATAGCCATTAAGAGGATGTCCAAGATGACTGAGATTTTGAATATGGAGAATAAACTTAGAGAATACTATTAATAAAATAGGAAAATGTCACAAATAAGACTCAATACAGGGGAAAAGATGATGAGTTCCATTTTGGACACATTGAGGTACCAGGACCTCTAGGTGGAAATGTTCAATAGACAATTAGAAATTTAAGTCTGGAACTCTGGGTTATACTTAGTTTGATTCTACAAACATTTATCATAAATTTAGATTTGGAGATCATCTATAACCATAGGAGTAGATAATTCAATAGTGAGAGAAGACTAGGGTCTGAACCTAGAGAAAATCTCCATTAAAGAAGTAGAAAGGCTAATGAAGGATACAGAGAAAAAGAAATGGGAAAGCTAGAAGGGAAGTCATGCAGTAGCTATATCATGGAAGCCAGGAGAGTTGACTCTCCAGGAGAAGAGTGTTAGAGTATGGTTAAGGAACATTAAGGTTTTTGTTTTTTTTTAAAGGTAACTGATATTGGACATTGAGTTGCCTTTTTTGACCTTTGAGAGGTCAATTTTTGTAGAGTGCTAGAGCTAGAAGCTCCATTACAAGGAGTTGAGGAAAAAGTCAGTGGTAATTAAGCAGCATTGGGAAGTATAGACTTGGTTCAACAGACATAACAGGGAAAAGGATAATGAGAAAAGAAATGAAAATTCAAGTGTATTGAAAGGTTGAAGGAAGAATATTTTGTTTCAAAAAAAGAAAATTTGACTATGTTTGTAGGCAGGGAAAAAGGTACTGGAAAGGATGAAGACACAAGAAAGAGAATACCATAAGAAAACACAGAAGAGGTTAACATTCAGGTTTTTAAAGTGTTATCAGATGGAAGAGTGATAAAGCTGCTTGACTCTGAAATACTGAACTAGAAACAATGAATGGAGGTTTCATGGAAGCATTTAAAGTAAAACCTCTTAACAGAACTGTCCAGAAATGAATGTACAGCCTCTGGAGGTTGTACAGTTCCTCTGCCCTAGAGATTTTCAAGAGGAGGCAGGATGAACATATATCAGTAATGGTCCAGAGAGATTCCTGCTTAGGTGTGAATCCCTGAGTACAGGATCTATGAGTTTCCTTCTGATTTCGAAAGTCTGTGATTCTGCTTTTTTTTTTTTTTAAACATTTGATGCAAGTGACCTGTGCTGAACCACTTTAGTGTACCAGATATCTCTTCATTGGGAACATGTATGTTTCACAAAATAAATGTCTTCCTAGTTATTTCTTAGTTGGGCTTACCTGATTAATTCTTACGAGCAGGCAGGGATCTTGACCTATGGCTACTCGCATCTGCCTATTTGTTCAGTAGAACAATGAATTATGATAAAGCGGAAGAATTGTGCGGGTATGTTTGCTTTGCAAATATTTCTGCCTGCTTAGTCCAGAACAAACTGTGAGTTCTTAATTTTAGACTTTCTAGAATCATCCATTGAAGAAAATCAGAGTACAATTTAACAAGTGGTTTATAGCTAAATCTTGGAGGAGCCCTGTCAAATTTCTGCTTATAGTTACTTTGTCTCATCATACTTTAGAACTGTTTACTGAATCATTTGGTTGCTGTTATCAATTTAAATAGATCTATATTATTGTTTGCTTCTTTATATTAGTTTATTCATAATAAAATAGTGAGGACGTGATCTGTCCCTTGTACATTATTTTGACCCATATTTGAAATTGTGTTTTTTTTTATTTTTTCCTAGGTCCTCCCATGCCATCCTCCTCATCTAGTCCATCAGTTATTGAACATACACATTCCCCTCCTCCATCACCCAATCTCCATGACAACCAGAGGTGGTTGCTAAGTACTAGTGCCATCCAGCCAGTTCAGGACTCTGACACTGATGATGAGTACATTGCCAGCTCTTTTCTAGTGCAGACCGGTACGGTTTCAGTTTGTGCCCCATGCGATGGTAAGATGACACCTTGTCCATAGTTTGACTAAATTCTTTATTTTCTGCATCCTGCAAGAAATCAAGCAAATTGTAAAAATAATACTCTAGTTCTTCCTCTAATAATTCATGGGTATTTTATAATTATAGATATTAAAGGAATGACAATAGCAATGAGTGTTTTGCAGCAGCTGTGGGAGTTGTTTCTAGTTGTCTACCACCTCTGTCTAAAGAAGCCCTCACCTTACTCCTTTAATCTGAACAGGATAAAAGGAGGAGGCCTCATAACAACCAGTCAGAATTTGCTACAATCCAAACACGGTTCTTTTCATTCTTTGTCCATGAGAATGAGCAAGATAATTCCCTGTTGCCAAGGCTCACAGTAAGGAACAATATTGTAGGATCATCACAGGTTTAGAAATGGATCAGAACTTAGAGAGTATTGAGGCCATTCCCCCTCACTTTAAACATGAGGAAACTAGGGTTCAGAGGGTTTAATAAGTGCTTGTTGACGTTTTGGTTTGACTTTGCTGCCTTCCATGAGGCAGGAAATTGGTCTCTATGCACACCTCAGCCTTCTGTATTCCTAGCTTAAAGTCACTGAGTGCTGCTCTTAGGAGAGAGACAAAAGTGGCAGAAACCCCATGTCTGTACTTCAGACAACATCACTGGGGCTAATGAAACTCATTTATTCTGAAACTAAGGGCAGTTAAAATGACCACCTCTAGTATTCTTTGCTAAACTTCTAGTTTAAAACCATGTAACTAAAAAAAAAAAACCTGGTTCCTTGATAATCTTATTGTAAAAATCTCTATAGATTTCCTTCAATCATCTTTCAGTTATGTTTAGTTTTTCAGTTGTGTCTGACTTTTCGTGACCCCATTTTGGGGTTTTCTTGGCACAGATACTGGAGGGGTTTGCTGTTTCCTTCTACAGCTCATTTGGCAGATGAGGAAATAGGCAAACAGTTTAAGTGACTTGCCCAGGGTCACATAGCTAGGAAGTGTCTGAGGCCAGATTTGAACTCAAGAAGGTGAGTCTTCCTGACTCCAGGCCCAGCAGTCTATCTACTGTACCACCTAGCTGCCCCTCTATTTAGATATCATTGCCAACTGAAAACTTTCATCCACCAATTAGTTATTTAGTGTCTATTCGTAGACTTTATTTTGGCAGTTGGGCAACCTGTCATTTCCATGACATGACAACTGTCTCGAATATTTCCAAAAGGCAAGCCAAAAATTAATTTGTTTGGTTTCTCATCCTTTGCAGCATAGAGACAACCTACAGGATGGGTACAGAAAGTTCTTCTTGATTAGTAAGAAAATTATTATATTATATATTATATAAACATACTATAATTAGTAACATGCTACACTATGAATAAATAAAGAGAAGGGAAAAAAACCCGTGTAATTCTTAGCTCTAATATGATAAGGCAGATTATGATATTGATTCCTTCTGTTTTCTAGAATGAGGCATTTTGTTTTGTTTTGTTTTCTTGTGTTATTTTTAAATCGCATTCTGGTATTCTAATTATAACCTAGAATAAGTTTACTTCAAACTGTTAAGCATTTTCAGTTAAAAGAGAGAGTTTGGATTTGAAAGTCCCATTTTAAAAATAAAGCATTTCATTTTAATTGTGTTGCAATAAAAGAGGGGGGAAAGTAGTCGTCTTTCCAAGGTAAGTTCTATAATATCATAAAAATCCCTCTGGATAAGGTGAAGATTGTTTTGTTTGAGTTTTCCAGACCATCAGATGGGATTTCAGAACTCTTTTAGCTCTCAGCTTTTAGTGTTTTTTTGGATTAGGAATATGTGTTAGGTGAATTCTAGTAGACAATTGGAAGGCAAGAGTTAGTCCCATCAGAGCCTCAGAACCACAAAAGTGGCAGGCACATTGTTTGAGCTTCTCTGCTGTGACCCAATGCATTACATAGACTCTTCTGCTCCTGAAATTGACTCTCTGTGTAATGTCCCTTCCCTTTGAATTATTTCCAAACTGTTTTCTTTGCTTCCTGTTGGGAAGACCTTGTTTTAAAAGAGCGTAAAGAAATCTAGGATACTGGCAGCGTGTGATCAGGTTTGACTCTGAGACACTTAGAATGTAGGCTTCTTGTGAGAAGGGATTATTTCTTTCTTTGTACTTGTGTCCTCTGCATCTAGTACAATGCCTGCCACATTGTAGGTGCTTGATAAATATTTGCTGATTGATTAAACCATAGGGAAAGCTTGAAATGTAGATAACAGAGGTAAAAGTTTTTTGCTGGGGCTTGGTCCATTTTTATCAACCTTTTATTTTAATGGGCTTGTAGAGAAAAAAAAATCTGGACAAAGAAAATGTCTCATTTTAACTTTTTAAAATATTTTAACTTTGTTTTATTTGTGTAGTGGTAGTCTTAAGTCCAGTTGTTTCCTGCCAATTAAAAACAACTCTGTTTTCAAATTCTACTTGGATGTTATTTAAAGTAGTTCAAGATGCCAACAGAAACGTTTTTCTCAGCCACCATCTTGGTATTTCCCAAAGAATGAATCAAAAATTCATTAGGAGAGCTATAAAACTATAGGAAATTTAAGGAAAATAAAGCAGTAGATGCTGTCAAATCAAGGATTTTAAACAGAAAGCGGCCCATCGTGAAACTAACATAGTACCTGGAATTATTCATTTGAATGGTAACTTTCATGATTTAAATTTGACCTTGGTAGACCAAATAAAAGGATATTTGAACAGGCTTGTAGAGCTCCTTATTGTAGGATCATTTATTTTTCTTTTGAACTGAAAGCTGAGACTTTTGCCATATTTGCTTTGAGACCTTATTATAGTTGTTGGTGCTCCCTGGCTTCCTTCCCTGACCCAACAACCTGTATCTTCTTTATGAAACTGTAACTCCTCTAGGACTGAGACTTCATTTTTGCCTTTTTTTATCTTCAATACCCAGTGCTTTGCCTGGCTCAATCAGCCTGGCTCATGACTAGGCACTTAATGAATGTTGAATTGAAATGATTTAATTTGATTGGGCAAATTGAACTTTCCATCCCACTGATTTAAAGCTGTTTCTTATCACCTAATCTTAATACTCTTACCAGCCTGCAAAATGCATTTTATTAAAATATATTTTGGGTGATACTTCGTTTATATTGAATCTGTTTTATGTAATTAATCTGTTTTATGGAAAAGGTGTTTTTTTTAAAATATCTACCCAAATTTTTTATGTTATCAATATGGGGACCTCCCTCTATCAAAGCTTTCTTTTTACAGTCTTAGAAAGATACCTTGGGGGGCAGCTAGGTTGCGCAGTGGAAAGAGCACCGGCCCTGAAGTCAGGAGAACCTGAGTTCAAATCCGGCCTCAGACCAAACACTTGACACTTACTAGCTGTGTGACCCTGGGCAAGTCACTTAACCCCAATCGCCAATTTAAAAAAAGAAAGAAAGAAAGAAGAAAGATACCTTAGACAGTGAGTAGTTAAATGATTTCCCCAAGTTCCCAAAGTCAATACGTGTCAGAAGGAAGACTTGAACCTAGGTCTTCCTGAATCTGAGGGTAATCCTTATATGCTCCACTGTTCCTCTCTTGAAAGATATATGCATCCTTCAAAAATAACCTGAACTGTTCCAACAAATTCATAAGCTAGCATATGCAGCTTGATGATGCTTCCAGTAAAATATCCTAGGTGTCTGAGTTCTGATTTTTTTTTTAAACTAGTGAGCCATTAAATAGGGAAGCATGTTGCAAGTTACATGAATCACTGTTGTTCCGCTCATCTTTTCTCAGAGATCTGCTAAGTGATGGATGATAAATGGGATATTTTCCTGCAGCCTCAGGGGTGATCTCTACCAAAGACTTTTATAAATCTGTTCAAACAGGAATGTATTTCGAATTGTCGGGTAGAAAGGCTAGGGAGAAATACATAGAGGAAGCACAGGTGTGCTTGGTGGAAGGAAAAATGGCAGACACAGATGTGAAAAATAAGTGAAACAGTCAAAGAAAGTTTAAAAGGGGGGTTTTCACTTCATGGCTAGTAAGTTTCACTTTAAATTTCAGGTAATTCCACCTAATTTTTTAAAGTATTTTTCGAAAGTCCAGTTTATTTTTTAAAAAAGAATTCCTTCTCCTTTCCCTTGTTTTGTCTTTTATCTCTTTGCTGCTTCTCCCCTTCTATTTCTCTCTGGCCCATCAGGATTCACACAAATGCTGGCTGGATTGCTGTGAGGAGTTACCTGATCTTTTCTCTCCTTTCTTGCTCTCCTCCCCCAGCAGTCTTCAAGGAAAGCACCAAACCTTGAAGAATGGGGCCCATGATGGTATACAAGAGATGATGGTTAACATGTTCCTATCTTTGCCAGAACTGGGTCTGTATCTCACAGATTGACAGTTCTGTTTAGAGTTGAGAAAGACTTGCAGACCTTCTAACAAGAGCAGAGCCAAAGATGTTGTTAATAGGAAAGCTGAGTCCCTGAAGCTGAAGCGTTCCAGGTTGCCCATTTCTTCCATATGGTTCAGTATCTCTAACTGAAAGCTTGAGGGAGGGATTCTCAGTAGATAGACTTAAAATGCTGGATTTGGATACCAATCTGGTATTTGCGTTTTTCTCCCCACTGGAACTACAAGGCCTTGGAGAAATCATCAGCCCTAAGAATAAGTATATGTGAGAATATTCATAAACATTAATTAATAACATGATATGGGGGCAGCATGTAAATCATAGCATACAGAATTAGAAATGGCTTTATGTATTATCTAATCTAACCTTCCCCTTTAGGAAGGTTGCCTTGAGACCTTATTATAGCTGTTACTACTCCCTGCTTCCTATTTCCAATAGGAAATAATCCCGTAGTAGATAAAATATTGGACTTAAAGTCAAAAAGACCCAGGTTCAAAGCTCACCTAAGGTATACACGGAGTGGCCCTGGGCAAATCACTTCATGTGTTTGTGCTAGAAGCAGATCCTCAGGGCTTAGCTGTTGTTGTTTGTCCTTGAGGACTGTGACATCAGGGAGGTGATGCCATGACATTCAAGTGA